GGGTTGAGGGGGGCCTGTGTCTGTGGGCCTCTGTCTAGCCCAGAATTAGGGTGGCTACCACTGGGCAGAGGGATTGCCCAGCAAGTATTGTCTACTCGGCAAACCAGCAACAGTTCAGGGGCCAAGCTGTAGGTAGCGCCCAAGACCCAGCAGAAACCCTGGCCAGGCCCCAGTTATCCGCTGTTACCAGAGTGCCACAGTTTATGTCCTCACAGGTGAGGGGTCTGAGTGCTGGGCGTTGGCTTCAGGGGAGGCTTTCTCCCTGTTGGCTCTGGAGGAAGGCCCTGGGGTCTTTCCAGCTCTTTCTGCATCTTTGGAGATCTGCAGCATGGCTTAACCCAAACCTACACATCTTAAAAGAGACTGACTTCAAACCTAAAGCTCCAAAACCAAACTGAGTGCGTAGGAGCAGGCGGAACAGCTGCGTCTGTGGGAATCCAGGACTGAGCCTTTGCCGGAGTAAACACCCTCAGCATTCTCCATGGAGCTGCTGCTGGTTCAAACCACCGACCTGTGGTTAGCAGTTCAGTGTGTATGTCGCCCACTAAGCCGGCAGGGCTCTGACTGCAAGTCGACAGGATCTTAATGCTGCCACATTACCAACACAGCCCACTTCCCTTGGCTTATAACCACCAGGTTAAGATGGGCAGCACGAGCTTGGGGAGGACGCAATTCAACCCATAGCAGCCACTTCTGCTAGGGCGTACGCCTCAAGGGCTCATCTCGTGTTTCACGGGGAGGAGCCCTTCACCCCAGGCCGAACCTAGTCATGCAGGCCCCTGCCCACTGCCCTGCCGAGTCCAGTTGAGGTGGGCAGAAGGAGGTGTGTAATCCCAGATGCAAGGGTTTTGTGAGTCTGTGGCTTTCCGAGAAAAGCCCGGAATCCACTGCTAAAATATTGGTGGTTGCCCTCTTTGTCCTACACAGTTACTTTTCTGAAAACAGGATCTCCTGTGCATAACATTTGTAACGGTTTTCTTCAGCTGACAGAGGGACCATATTTCCAACATTAAATACCTTTTCCTGTCTCCCAGCGTGAGGCGAGCATGGGCCGGGCCCTCTTCTCTAGTCTAAAAGGCTGTTGTCAGCTGCACTGATCACTGGAGAGTCCCAAGCACCCGTAAAGCAAGCAGTGGGTCAGGAGGGGCGCAGCTTACAGGACGGGAGCTGGGGTGATGGGAGGTGAGAGGGATTGTCAGGTAAGCCTCTGCATTTGTGACCAGCTGGGTGGGGTGTGACTGAGCTAGGAGACTAGAGGGGAGCAGGGGGCACTAAGCCATCTGTGTCCAGAACATCCTACCCCCCACTCCCTCAGCTACAAGTCCGCCCTTCTGAGAGGCCTCCAAGGGGTACCCCCCCACCCCCCTCTACACTGCTGCTCAGGGCCATTCAAGTTACAGATGCAGGACTCACTGTCACCTTATAGACCGCGTTTCCATGACAGCAGGGACTGGTACACTGGTAACCTGATTGGCATTAGTGAACTAATGCACTGATACTGGCCAGTTTGAATCAGACAGACAAATGGTCTACTATGCTGGGAATGACAAACAGAAGGAATGGTGTCACATTGGTCCTTAAAAAGGAATATTTCAAGATCTGTCCAGAACAGTGCCACCAGTGATAGGAAGACAGC